CCACGCTATTTTGCCTCCCACCCCTTAGGCTGCGGTTCCCATTTAAACACCAACGGATGCCAACCTGGGCTGGTCAGAATCCTAGAAAGCCACAGGTAGGAAGGAGGTAATCATCTTTTTACCGTGGGGGTGGGAGGTGGGGTGGTCAGGTCCACAGAAGGGAAGAGACCATGGCTACAGAGGGACAGAACCAAAAGTAGGCAAGGCCTGGCCCCATGATGATGTCCAAATCCTGGTAGTTGCAGCTGCTGCATTGTAGGGGGGTGTATTTCAATGCTCTCTGGAGAGGTCTCAAGCTTTGTGGCCACAGCAGGACTTACTTAACTGTGACCATTCCGCTTTTTTTAAAAAAAAATATTATTTTTGATTTTTTTTTTTTTTTTTTTTTTTTTTTTTACAGAGACGAAAGGGGAGGGAAACATGGATGAGAAATATCCATCAGCTGCCTCCTGCACACCTCCTACTGGGGATGTGGCCACAACCAAGTTAATGCCCTTGACCGGAATCGAACCTGGGACCTTTCAGTCCACAGGCTGATGCTCTATCCCCTGAGCCAAACCAGTTTCGGCCCGTTCTGCCTCTTTTCAGCCCTCTCCCTGCTTCTGGGCAGAGCGGGAAAGGACACGGGCCAGGCAAATGGTAAGAAATCCTTCTGGAAATAGGTGGCAGCCAGAAGGCGGCCTTTTCTGCTTGAGAAGCTTGTCTGGGAACCAGGGTCTGGGGTGGTACTGATGAGGGGGCAGGTTTCAACCCCAAGACTCTGAATGGAGCTGTAGCCACTCCCATGTTCCCCAGCTGCCCTGCTCCTGGCAGCGCGCGCTTAGGCCATTTAAAATGCCCATCTTGCCGGGACCGGTTTGGCTCAGTGGATAGAGCGTCGGCCTGCGGACTGAAAGGTCCCGGGTTCGATTCCGGGCAAGGGCATGTACCTTGGTTGCGGGAACGTCCTCCAGTGGGGGCTGTGCAAGAGGCAGCTGATCGATGATTCTCTCTCATCGATGTTTCTAACTCTCTATCCCTCTCTCTTCCTCTCTGTGAAAAATCAATAAAAAAATATATTTAAAAAAAAAATAAAATGCCCATCTTCTTCTTCTTCTTTTTTTTTTAAATGCCCATCTTCTTCTTAACGTGCGTTCCTTCCCACAATTCTTAAAGAGACTTGGATTAACGCGGAGGTTCAAGGGAAATCCATCTTTTTTATGGTGCGCATTTTCTGCATAAAGCAAGCGTGGATGCATTACTAGGCCAAGCAATTGTGTTTAAAATGTCGGCTAACACCCAAACTACTTCAAACTGGAGTCAGGCTGCAGTAGCCGGCTGTTATTTCTGGCCCCTCACCCAGTGGTTGGGGGGAGGATCACATCCGTGGGCAGGTACCTCTCGTTCGTTCACGGAGCAAAGGGATCGAAAGCCACACAAGCTAAAAACCTACACAGTTCGCAGTTCGAGATGAAAGGCTGCAGAAATGTTTATTGAATACAGTGCCAGGTTTATAAATAAAACTTATTTACAGTTTCCATAGAGTTGGTCCCCCATCAGAGAGGTGGTAAAATCTCCAAACAGTTTATCTCACGGTTTACAGAAACTTTCAAGTACATTTTCGTCCTTTTTGCAAATCGCCACGGTGAAGGGCGGCTTCCGGTAACGAAAAGATCTACCACCATCTTGGCTACAGACGCGTTTCATGAACATTGCAGTAGAGCTGGAGAGAACACACACTCCACCCGCGCCACTACCGTCCCACTCCGAGGGATACAGAGAGCCACGTGTCTCCAGGACAATTTCAAGGGATTAAAAAAAAAAAAAAGAGGAAAGAGTCATTGTTAGCTGAAGGGAGAGAGTAAGACACATTTGTGGAGTCTAGTCACTGCCAGAAGGGTTACGTTTAGGATACACAATAAAAGGATTATTGAAGATATACAATAATGAGTTCCAATGTTTAAAAGAACCGAAGGAACAAAGAGCGGGTTGACCCAATGTACATTCTTGGTTTTAGGAAGGAAGTTAGTTCCCAGTATGCTGAGGGGCTGATCATATGCTGCTACTGGACAGCCGCTCATTACAATAAGGTTACAGGTACAATCAGACATGCACTTATAAAGAGAATATAAAAATATGTACAGGACCTAATTCCCAATGTGTTTAAGTTGCTGAAAGATACCAATTAAAGTGTGCAAAAACTCATTTTGTCGAAAAAATCAGGAAAAGAAAAAAAAAAAAAAAAAAAGCCTTCCTTGGCAACAGTTGCGTGAAAAGCCCATCCGAAATACCAAGCTACATTTGCCTCGCTCAACACCTACCCACCCCAAACAGATGGAGCACGAAACCAGGAAAGTGTTTGCCAAGTACTCAGCGGATTTTTTACGGCAAGTCTCAGGCTCAAGCGGGATGCCAGTTAAAACTAGTCGCTTTATATATATATATATATATATGTATGTATAAATATATATGTGTGTGTGTGTACATTTACAGAGCGGTTGGAAGTAGGGGCAGGAGTTGACAGGAAGGTGCTAACCCACTCCTAGGAAGTACTGCCACGCCATCCAGCTCTTTCCTCTCTCAAACTCACGCCGACGGCAAACACCTCACCCCCGGGGCTGGCCGTCCCATCACTCGCCAGAGGAAAAAGGCTCCGGTGGACCCCGCTGCACCTCCACCTTCCCCGGGAAAGCTTCTGTGCCCACGGGACCCTGGCCCTTTCAGAATCTAGCTCCAAAGGAAGTCTCTTGGGAAAGACTGGGGGACCCCTGAAATGGAGTCTGCCCAGCTTCTAGAAAGACAGAAGGCAACATTTCCAAGAAAGTCAAGTCAACCCTCTTTGGAACCATCAGCAGGTCCTCCGCCACAGGCCTGAGGCTGGGCCAACCGTCAGGCTGTTGGAACTCCCTGCAAGAAACAGGCAGGTCTGTACCGAAGGCAGACCAGGAGCCCTGGGTCCTCCGAGCTCATCAGAAGCCCCAAGGTATTCTTAGATGTTCCTTACAGATTCAAAAACAATGCAAGCCAAACCTAGCCCGTCATGTCAGCCTCTCTTCCACCAACCACGGGGTTTCAGGACCAGTCTCAGAGGCAGCTGGGCGGGCGAGCTCTCCACAGCTCGGACCCACCCCTCTGGCAGGAAATCGAACAAGCTGCAAAAGGCCAGAGAGGCGGGGAGTAGGAGAGGGAGAAGCCAAGGGTCTCTATAAATCAGCCCCGAACGCACCCGGGCGGCTGCCAAGAGCTCCTCGCTGCCTCGCGCGCAGCCTGCCACTGTTCCCTGGCGAATGGAAACCTCCCACACACACTCTCGAACCCAAACCTCCTTGCTAAGAAGATACCGCCGGCTAACACCCTGAAAAAAAAAAAAAAATGCACATCCAGCCTTCATTTCAAAGAGTTCTGCAAAATGCAACATGCCTCCAAAGGGGCTTCTTAACAGCAGACCAGTCCCACGGCAAAGACCAGTACCAGCATCTTCTTCGTTTTGGTGAAAGATTTATAATTAGACACAACATTCCCCTCTGGGTGGTGGTTTGCTTTCAAGCTGAGGGCTACCATTAGGTCTACTTGGGAGGGGTGGAGGGGGAAGAGGAAGCAAAGTCAACTTTCTTCAAAAAGGTAAAAGGCGGCTACAGTAGAGATAATCACAACTTAAAAATGATCGCGTGACTGGTAGTGTCTTCCAGGCGTGGAGACTGGCTTAGAGAGGTGACTACCGCTTCTACCACACACAGCGAGGACCGAGTTAGACACACTAAATCATGTCTCTTGCACAGATGGCCTCTAGTTACATGAAACAGGTAATCAGCAGCACAACCGAGACAAACCCCTAAATACATGCTTGAGAGAAAAGTGTTTTTTTTTTTCTTTCCTTCGTTAAGAGCGCTACTGTCTGAATAATCATTGTTACCATGAGTCACTGCCCCCCTCCCTCCCCCCACCCCGGGTGAACACACAACAGACCTACATGTCCACAAACGTGACGCAGCAGTCGGAATCCGCTTGGTTTTAGGTGAGGCCTCAGCTGGGAGGTTGGTGCTGGGATGCCGGGAGGGAGGGAGGGAGCGGGGGAGGGACGCCCAATGCCGGGCTGGGGGACAGTTACAGGGGCCCTGTCCCCGTTTGGATCTCAGCTTTACAAAGCATGTAACACCGCTTTAAGTTAATGGTCTTTTTATTGGAAAAAAAAAATAAAATAAAAAGACTAGCATTTACACAACTTGGAATGGACGTTAAATTGTGATTTCTTGAACAGCAATGTTGATGGTTGTGCTGAAGTCCACAGCCACAGCCTACCTCTGCTGGCTCCAAGTCACGGTTCAGGAGGTTTTTAAAAACAGAGAGTCCAAAGATGCTCCCTTGGTAAGAGTTTCTTTTTTTAAAAATTTTGTGTGAGTGGTGACAGCCTGACACCCCATTTTTTCGCTCTAGCACGAGGCAGGCAACGCTAAACCAACGTGCGTGGGCACGCCACCGGATGCCTCACCATCACCGCGGGTCAGGGCACATGGAAGTTCAAGAGGGACCATCATCCTGCTACGTGGGGCTGCGTCTAGACAGTTTATCCTTCACCCATCTTTCTACATGACATCCTGAGGTAAACCAATTTGAAATGCGTTTGCTTTTCAGCAAACCAACTGTGACAATTTCTACTAAACAAACTGAACTAGAACCCATTTGAATAGGCTTTGAATTTTGTGTGTTTTTTTCGGTTTTCGTTTTTTAATACAAAGGCCTGACTGTGCTCAATTGTCAAGCTGCATGCATGAAAAACTGGCCAGCCCAAACAGTGTTATTAATCATTAGCAAATGGAACTGCAAGGAGTCCGCTAAGTGCTTCCTTATCGTTAAGGTAGTACGAGGATGTATACTGTAAAACGGATGTGTAGCTTGATCTTTAAGGGGACAGGACCACCAACCAATACATGCAGATTTTGTGTGTGTGTGTGGACAGAAGGTACTTTTTGACATTCAGTTTTGCTATATAGAAACAGAATGAGTAAATGATTTTTTTTTTCTTTTTGCAAGAGGTAAGTAAAAGATTCAATTTGATTCTTCTAGAGGAGGGGAACAAGTTGAAAGTAGGTCTTCATTTTGCAGTCATCATCTGTACGAATTCTGAAAAGACAAACGGTCATAACTCGGTTATCTTCAAAAGCAGCTGTTTGAACCCTCCATCTCTGCTCTGCGTGAAAAATAAAACAAACCAGGGCATGTCTCGCCAAACAGTTAATGTGTTCATAGATTCTGAAGGGGAGTCTCTCAGGAACTAAGCTGACGAAACGCAGTGTTTTACCTTCATAGTTGACTTGTCCGTCTCCATCGATATCTGCTTCTCTGATCATTTCATCTACTTCTTCGTCTGTTAGTTTTTCTCCTAAGTTTGTCATGACGTGACGTAGCTCTGCCGCACTGATGTACCCATTGCCATCCTGTGAACATTCAGCGATCGTTAGCAACAGGGGCTGAGAGCGGGTCAGTGTGGGCCAGCAGGTCTCTGGCTTAATCACACACCCTCTCAAGTTACTACTGCTCCTCTACCCACTATGCATATGCAGTCCACGAGGGCAGAATACACGGGGGTGGGGGTTGGGGGGGGAGGGGTGTTCAAAAACTAATAGAAATTGAAAGTAACAATCAAGAAACTTGGTTCACATTTTCTCATCCACTTATGTTTTCCCTTACTGGTTACAGCAATAAATCAGATCATTTGAAAGTGAGATTCAGAGGGTCGGGCAGTTAGGGAAGTGCTCTTAACTAGAACAGATTGTTGAAGCTTTTAGCAAGAAGAGAAAAAAAAAAAAGCAGTACGAAGCACCATTTGCAATGCAGACGCAGGGTTACCTTGTCAAAGACTCGGAATGCCTCGCGGATTTCTTCTTCGCTGTCTGTGTCTTTCATTTTTCTGGCCATCATGGTCAAAAACTCTGGGAAGTCAATGGTGCCATTGCCTCGAGGGAAAACAGAAAGCTCGTGTAAAGTAAGTGCTCTGGCCATGCTCCCCTGCATTAATAATTTTAGAACCGCTTTATGGAACTGGTTAAGCGCTTGCTAGGACAAACTGCTAAATTATTTTATTTGATCGAGCCATGTATAGGTCTAAACTGTTACAATACTATGAGGGCGATTTTACATGATTCAAATTAATAACCAATGCCCTGGACAGCATGGAAGAATGCAAAGGAAACTGCATATACAGAATCTTGATCATGGAAGGGGGCTGTTCGGTTCAGGAGAAAAAAAGCACACAGCCCTGACGGCCGACTCTCTCCACTCCCCCGGGAAGCATTCCAGATCGTCGCTCCCGCCCTCCCCTCCCGCCCCGCTCCGCTCCAAGTGAGGGCAGTCAGTGGGATCCTGCTCTGCCTTGGCCAGTGGTGCTGGTCAAGGCCTAGATCTGGGCCCCCAAGGATGAGAAGGACCATGAGGGGGACACCATGGACCATAAAGCGTTAAGAGTCTTCTCCGGGGGCATTTCTGAGGCCCGTTATGGGAAGCCACCTAATCGCTTTCTCCCCACTCGGTATCTTTACTTCCCATGAAGGGCGCAAAACTCAGAAGTGTTTTTTCCACAGCTCAGACCATTAACGTTAGAAAACTGTGTCCAAAGAATCTGTTCTTTGGCCAATATTCCAAATAACGCCCCCTGAAACGAAGAGTTAGATGAACACGCCAGAGACAAAACACTCGATTAACAATGTAACTTGAGCCCTAACCGGTTTGGCTCAGTGGCTAGAGCATCAGCCTGCAGACTCAAGGGTCCCAGGTTCGATTCCAGTCAAGGGCATGTACCTTGGTTGCAGGCACATATCCAGTAGGGAGTGTGCAGGAGGCAGCTGGTTGATGTTTCTCTCTCATCAATGTTTCTAACTCTCTATTCCTCTCCCTTCCTCTCTGTAAAAAAAAAAAAAAAAAATCAATAAAATACATTTTTTTTTAATGTAACTTGAATTAAGTGGAAATAAAGTTAAACTAGAAAAAAAAAAAAAGCTTTAGGTCAAGTTACTCATTTTCACAGTACCTTTAAATCAACTGTAATTCAACAGATCCTTCCAAAAATGGGAAGCATTATTGATATTCATGTAAGTCAATATTAAGTATTTAGCGTGCTTACAGCCAAGGAGAGATGTGTGTCTTTAGGCTTCATCATATTTATTCACTGTGAATACCAGATTCCGTCTCCAGGACCTCACACCACACACACCCAGTGCCCCCCATCTCCTACCCCCACCCCTTGTTCCATACAAATCTCGGGGAGCCTAATACACTCTGCCAGTCCCCGAGCTCAGTTTCCCGGGGTTTACAGGAGAAACTTGATCACCTTAGCAACCTGGAGAGAACTATGTACAACCTCTTTTTCCAAAACAATATTAAGGCTGAAAACAGTCTTTAGGAGTAGTTTGAATGGGCTAAAACCATTTGTTTAAGAGTTTAACTAAAACCCCTGCTTCTAAATGTATGTGACAGGTCTGACTCAGCTTTATCACCTCTCAAAACCCTAGTTTTAAATGACTACTATCAAGTCAATCATCTAGCAAGTAGTCCAGACCAAATTCTTCTTAGACCACCTTTTAAAGATGTACTGTGCTCTACAATATTACTAGTACGTATATATATGTGTGTATGTGTGTGTGTGTATATACACACACACACATATACATACATTAAAAAACCACATATATGTGTGTATATATACACATATATACATATATACATATATACATATATACATATATATATATATATATATATATATATATATATATATATGGTTTTTTTGAGGGGGTGTCTCAAAAACTGTTTACTGATAGAAGCAAGCAATAAAAGATCTATTGCCCACTGTTCTAGAATTCAGAAGACGATGAGCCATTGGTGACCAACTTCTGCAGGGGTTCTTGCTTGTTCCTTCCTGCCCCATGCCTTATACATCCTCTCCTTCTGTTAGATTCTGCAGCTCTATTCCTACAGTCCATCATGACCCCACACCTCCAACTCTCACAAGGACTTAAAAAAATTCTCTTCAGAGACTGAACATAAACTGTGCACCTATGGATAAGGACAATGGGGGAGGGGAGGGGGGTGGAGGTTGGGGTGGGAACCTGGTGGAGGGGGGAAGAAATGAGGAACCTTTGTAATAATATGAACAATAAAGATTGATTTAAAAAAAAAATTCTCTTCAATAAACACATCTACAGCTCACACGGGATCCAATTCTGTTAGCGTCTAACAATGGTCCTCACCCACCTCACTTAAGGGGTTTTTCTCCTCCTCTTGGAGACAATCAGCTTTTAAAAAAGGTCTATGGCTATTTGTCTGAACTCAGTGCAGATTCACAGGCCAGTTGATGAAAGACTGAGCTGTGGGGTCATGGCAGGTAGAAAAGAACAATACAGTGACCTGATCCAGGAAACATTCTAGCCAGCGAGCAGGGCAAAAGGCAGGCCCATACCCTCCTGTTGACATTGTCAGTGGCCAGCAGGGAACCACAGAAAAGATCGTTGCGCGTTTGTTTTGCTGTGGGACCCGAGAGACGATCTTGTAACGTGTCTGAACTTGAATGAACACTGGCGCTCATTCACAGTCCCAAAGCCCTTACCATCAGCATCCACTTCATTGATCATATCCTGCAATTCGGCTTCTGTTGGGTTCTGACCCAGCGACCTCATGACGGTGCCAAGTTCCTTTGTGGTGATGGTCCCATCGCCATCTTTGTCAAATAGGGAGAAAGCTTCCTTGAATTCTGAAAACAGAAGTTTACCTTTTAGAACGAATGTCTTCACCCAAGCCAGCCACAACGCGCGCGTCCCTGGGGCTTGCCAAAGCAAGCGGTCCAAGGTGTGCAAGCTATCCGAAACTGCCTCGCCTTTTCCACTGAAATAAAGACTACAACAATCCCGATAGACTGGCCTTAAAGCAAGCACTGCTCCTGTTAAGCAGCTCTGTAAAACCGCAATATTCTCACGTTTTTAAAGGAGGCTAAGCTTCAACACACTGAAATGAGATGGGTCTGTGTTCCCGTAAGGCCCCTTCCTGTTAACATTTCTACGCCTTGGTTTTGGTTTCCTAGCAACATGCCGGCTATTAAAATGCGCATTGCAGGTAGCCAATGTGTTCTCTCTACAAGGCACTCAGAATATCCCAAAGGCATTTCTGGTTTCCTAAGGAGGAACCATCAAAAAAAAAAAATTAAAATCTAAACTAAAACAACTCCCTTCACAATTATTATAATGGTCCCAACACTCCTTTTCACCCATTCCCATAGATTTTAGAATAGCGAGCACAGGTTTTCAAAGGTGGATTACTAAAAGACCTGTGACATAGAAATTCTAAACTACACGTCTGAGTAGTAAACTCAGCACAATCTCATTATACACAAAATCTCGCATCGTGAAACATCGTCGGGTACCCCACAGTGTAACAAATGGGTGTTCTTAGTTCTGCGTCCTTTCACTGTATCTCCAAAATGCTAGCAAGGAGTAGCATCTCCCCTAAATATCCCTGCTTGTTTTCATTTATATAGATTCTCAGGAAACAGTTCATATTATAGGGGAGAGGGGACTGACTGATGTCTAGCTCTGGCCTACTGGGGACTTCCGGAACCCACGGACTTACCAGCAATCTGTTCTTCAGTCAGTTGATCAGCCTACGTGGAGAAAGAAAAGGTTGTGATTCAATCTACAACACTGAGATCAACACTGCTGCTCCAGTTATCCTTTTAATCGTGACCTTTTGTCAGTATTTAAAATATGTCCACTGTTCGAAGGCTTTAGCCTGTCATTTATTTTTAAACAAAAATAAAGAAAACTCTTGATGCTATTAAAAAAAAAAAGGGGGGGGGGTGGCCAGGAAGTGACAGCTCCCTTCAGGTTTTCCTTTCTTGGGCTGTGCATGGTGAGGTCTAACTAGGAAGGGTCAAGTTCATTACTTGAAAAATGGCACCTCTAGTGGCAGAGGGCCCCACAGCACCGGCTGCAGCAGCAGCAGCAGCAGCAGCAGGAGCTGGGCAGGAAGAGCGCCACCTACCGCACCAGGGCGCCGCAACCCCGCTCCCGCCCCAGCAGGGACCTGGCCTGACGCTGCTGCTGTCACCACAGCCGGGACCTCGGATCGGTCCAGGGGCAGGCTTTTAGCGCACCTTGCGCATTGCTGCGGGCACTCCAAATCTCCAAACTGGCGTTACATAACGGCCCTGGGCTGGATTAACGGGCTTTTATATCCATTTTTATGAGATACAATTAAGAGGGGGGGAATAAATATACTGCAATGGGTTATCCCGCTAACTTCATCTCCGTGTAGTAAAGGCTTTCAATCATTTATATTAGGCAGTTTATGCGTTGAAAGTCCACCATTTACAATGGCTAATGCCCTCTGTCAAATTATCCTGACTCAGAAGCCAGGAAAGTGGGGGGGGGGATGGAACCTCCGATAAGTGAGCTGTTACAAAACTGCCAATACCAAGTGCACCGAAAACGACACCATTATGAGACTGTACACAGCCCCTCTTCTCTGGAGAGGAGGGTCTCTGCCGGAGGGTGTTTACCCGCCTTAAAGGTGGCAACACAGCTGCTCACAAGGAACCTTTTACTGGAGGTGGGCAAGGGCACGGCAATACGGAACCTGCATCTCCAGCCAGGGGAACTGGAGAGCTCGAGGAGGAGGGCTAAGATGTCTTTTCATTTTAATGAAGGGCACCTATCGAAGCCAGCCAGAAAATAGGTCCCGCTAGAAAGCTGACGGCGATGAGTTTCTTCTCACTCTTAAAGGAAAACCTCCACAAATAGGAAGGGCGTTCCGATATATGGAAAACTTTTTTTTTTTTTTTTCCGTATTAGAATTGAGTCTTCCTCCTCTCTACCCTAGTGGCTGCCCGATGGGTCTTCTTTCTATCGAACGAGGGAGCCGCGATGGTTTATGTAACGCCGGAGCGGCGTCTGTCTTGTACAACAGGAAGCGCGGCCACGCCTCGAGAGACAAGCTGTCACCCTCGCCTCGCCGGGGCGCGCAGTCCCACCGCGCGAGGGGATTGTCCTGTTGGAGGGGTGATGGGGAGCATCAGCCTTCATCGACCAAAAAATAAAAAACAAAAACCATCGCCCGAAGGCACTGGCCTGAGGAACAAGGAAACTGCCGCCGGGGTGATGTCAGCCCCGCGCGGGGAGGAAGGGGCTGTGCGCACACACCCAGCGGGGCGCACGGGCGCCGGCGGCCGCCGAGGAGCCGCAGAGAAAGCGGAAACGCAGAGGGCATCTCCCCGCCGACCGGGCAGTGGCGCCGGGCGGGGAACCGCAACGCCCAGGGGCCTGGCGGGGGTGCGCGCCCCAAGGGCGGACCAGAGGTGCGAGGGATGTCCCCCCGCGAGGGCGCCCCTCGCCGGCCGCGGCGACCTCCCACTCCCACCCCGGGCGGACGGCGCGGCGGGGAGCGCCCAGCCCGCCCCGCGCCTCCCACCCGCGTCAGCTCCCCCCGGAGCAGAAACTTTGCGTCTCTCATGGAAACCGAGCCCCGCGCCAGCTCCCTCCTCCCCCACCCCCTCCCGCCCCAATTAGCGCCAACCCAGCGCCTCCCGCGGGAGGGAAGGGGCCTCCGGGTGCACCGCGGCTCCGCACGCCTTCACCGCCGCCCGGGGGTGCGGGTGCGGGTGGAGGTGGGGGGGGGGGGTGCTGGGGTGCCAAACGGAGGCGAGTGCCGGCCGCCCCGCAGGGCCCCGCCCGGGCGCAGGGCGGCCTGCCCGCCGCTTCCGCCCTCCGCCCCCCGCCCCCCCTCGCCTTCCTGCCCCCACCCCACACCCTCCCCCGGTTCCTTCCTTCCCAGCCCACGCCCGCGCCGCGCCCCCCGGGAGGCAGGAGGGAACGGCGGCGGCGGAGAGAGGGTGCCCAGCAGCGGGGAAGGCTGGTGGGAGGGCGGGCGGGGGCCACACGGCCGACGGCGCCCCCCACGCCCAGGACCCGAGCGATGTGCGCCACCCGCTCGCCCCGGCCCATTCATTCTCCCGGGCCCGCCGGACCCGCCGCCTCCGAGCCCCGGGGAAGGCGGCAGGGTGGAGGGGAGACCAGTGCCCGGCCCCGCTCGGCTCCCCCACCTCCCACCCCCCCGGGGCCCGGCCGAGGCGCGGCGCTGCGGGCAGCCCGGGTGCGGCGCGCTGGGTGCAGCGGTGCGGGGATGGGGGTGGGGGTGGGGGATGCGGAAGCCCCGCGCCGCTGTGGTCAGAGCCCCCGGAGGACCAACGTGTAAACCAGGATCCCCGGCCAAAGAAACCGACATGCAAATCCGAAATGTATCCGTTTTAGCCGCAACGGCTGCGTAATGCCCGGGAAAGAAAAGGGGAACCCCCCCCTAAAAAAAAAAAGACAAACTAACAGCAAAAAGAAAAAAGAAAAAGAATAAACCCGGACGGAAATAATCTGTTTAGAAATCATGGGCAGGCAGCTGCGGCGCGGGCATTTGCCATCCCCGACCTACCATGGTGCACACGGAGGGAGGACGCGCAGGAGGACCGAGGGAGCCTGCACCAGCGCGGGGCTGAGACGGCGGGAGCCTCCGCTGCTGCTGCCGCTGCTGCCGAGGCGCGGGGTGCGCTGCGCGCTGTGCTGAGCCGCTGCCGCCGCCGCCCGACTGCGAGTACCGGCGCCGCGCGCGAGACTCCCAGCGCGAAAGCCGAAGCGCGCCCCTGCGCCCGCGGGATATATAGGGCGCGCGGTATCCCTCCGCCGCGGCCGCGCCCCGCCTCGCTCAGCGCCTGGCCCCGCCCCCGGCGCGCCCGCCGCCCCCGCCCTCTGCGCCTCTGCGCGCCCGCCGCCGCCGGCCAGGCTCGGGGAGAGGTGCGGGGCTCCCGGGCGGGCCCGCTCCTATAGGAGGACCGGGAGCCTGCATAGTGCGGCCCTAAGGCGGCCCTGGGCCCCTCACCCCTGCCCCACCCCACTTGTGAAACCCCCCTCCCTATACCCCTCTCCACACACCCCTCCCTGCGCCAACATCTCCCACCCCTGCGCTGGGCACCCCGTCCTGGGGCAGGGGCGGCCGCGGGGAGCTGGGGACAGGACAGAGGAGTGGACCCGGCACCTTCAGCTGCAGAAGGGGCAGAGCAGTTTTCCTCTTGCAAGAAACCGGGCGTTTTTCTTCCCAAATTGTGGAGCAATATCCGAGACCAATTCTAGGTGCCCAGTTGCTAAATTCACATCATGCCCACAGATAAGCTTAGCCACTCTTAATGGAATTTTTTTACGTATCCTCTAATTTTTTATTTTTTTTTTTTGTATGCCGGGGATAATATCTCTCCCCTACCGTTTTGTTCTCTTTTTCCTATGTAAAATACTAGTATTCATCCTGACTGCAGTCTTAATTAAAACTTATGTATCTACACATCTCCTATAGACCTTAAAAACCATGCTTTATTTTTCATAATTTTACTGATCCCGAGAGGGATCAGATCTGTATTCATAAACCCAGAGAAACAAAGAAAGAAGGAATAGTTAGAATCCCTCAGATTACAGTTTGGAAGACACAGCTAATTGGCACTGCCATGGAGCTAGACTAAATTTTAACCTACAATCTTGATTATATTCATTTTTAAATGGTATTTTAATACTTAAATTTACTGTTTTCAATTTTTCTGTAAACTAGGGAGGGGGAAAAAAGGACAATTCCAGCTATTGATTTGAAACCCAAAACATGTAAAAAGAAGAAAAAAAAAGAAATCTTGACCAAACAAAAACGCTGCAGTTTCTTTTCTCGCCAAGGCAGAACACAATTCGATCTTTTGTTTACAGGGCCTGGGCAGCAGCCCCACGTTATCATTTGCTTATTCTTTCAGAGAAAGTGGCGAAGTGTGAGATTGAGAAGCTCCGCTCTGAAGGACTTTGGTTATGTGTGTTTCTGGCTTTAACAAAACCTGCAGAAAGATATTTTAAAAGAATGGGAAATGTTCAGGCACATTGCAGATGCCACAGGACTGCTGAGGTAGACAGGCAACTTTTATGTTCCTTCTAGAATACCAGAGAAAGGGGGAGCCTACCGTCAATAGGAAGAGGCTGCCAAAGAGGAGAGAGAGAGAGAGAAAGAGAGAGAGAGAAAGGAAAAAAATGAATTTGTATTCTTTTATCAGGTTTCTCACATAGTAGTTAATTTAATATATTTTAAAACACGGGATATGGTATATGAGTAGGAGGAAATAATGGCCTAGAAATGGAATGTATTTCATTATTAAGGATTCATTAGCTTCTAATATTCTTTCATTTCTTATCACCATTTTGGTTAAATTGCTACAATCTATGGTTTTGAAAACCAGGCATTTTATAAAATAATATTTCTCCCTCTGTCATTTAACCTATTTCACCCAAATACAATGCTTTTCATGACTTTACTTGCTAACAATAGGATCATTTCACTTATTACAGGGAAATTCATTATTCTGAGTCTTCATATTTACCACCTAGAGTTATCTTCTGGTGATTTTTAAATGTATCAAATCACATCTTAGCTTTCAAGTCTAGTGGGTTTATAATGAGGTCATACTTTATTCAGTTTTATGGCTAGTTGGCCACACTGAAATACAAGAAGGTCAAGTGACTTGCCCAAGATCTTACCATGAGTCAGGATGGAGCACAAAATAGAGTGTGAGCCCTTGATTAGGGCTCTAATCTTAGATTATATATGGCTGAAATCAATATCTGAAATTTGTAATCATGCAATGTGAAGGATTTGCCCACTTCATGAAGAAGATTCTTCTAACAACTTAGATGATTACAGGGTTTTCCTCTTGACCCACACAAAGATCACAGTTTGAACTCTGTGGGTTTGAACTCTGTGGGTCTACTATAGGTGAACTTTTTTTTTTTTTTTTTTTTTTTTGTAAATAAATACCTGTACTGTTGGGAGTCCACAGATGCAGAGGCTGACCGTATGCATTGACCTGTGCCATTTGTATATTGGCGATTTGAACATCCTCGCATTTTGGGTTTCTGCAGGAGGCCCTGGAACCAATCCCCCATAGATACTAAAGGACAACATATGTTTTGGATGCATCAAAAGTTATACTCAGGTTTTCAACTCCCCAGGGGGCCCGCACCCTTAACTCCCACATTATTCAAGGGTCAACTGTACAATAGGCTCCCCTGGTCAACACTTTCGGAAGTTTCAGTTACCCACGGTCAACCGCGGCCCAAAAATATTAAATTAAAAATTCCAGAAATGAACAATTGGGAAGGTTTAAATCACATGCCACTTTGAGTAGCTTGATGCAATCTCATGAGTCCTGCTTCATCCTGCCTGGGACGTGAATCACCCCTTTGTCCAACGTATCTGTGCTGAATAAGCTCCCCACCTGTTTGTTGCGTAGTGGCTATCTGGGTGTATCACAATGCTGTGTTCAAGCAGCCCTATTTTACTTAATAATGGGCCCCAAAGTGCAAGGGTGGTGATGCTGGCAATTCAGATACCCCAAAGAGAAGCTATAAAGTGCCTCCCTGCCCTGGCCAGGGTGGCTCAGTTGGTTAAAGCATTGTCCTCTGCACCGAAGGGTCTCAGGTTCAATTCCCAGTCAGGGCTCATACCCAGGTTGCGGGTTCCATCCCTGATTGAAGTATGTATGTATGGGAGGCAACCAATCAACGTTTCTCTCTCACATTTTTTTTTCTCTCCCCCTTACTCTCTCAAATTAATAGAAACATATCTTTGGATGAGAATTTAAAAATTTATGTATATAAAAGCCCAGTGACCCAAATGGTGGAACGGCCAAATGACCAGTTGACCAGTCACTATGATGTGGACAGCTGGGGGGCAACCGCTCAACATAGGAGCTGCCCCCTGGTGGTCAGTGCGCTCCCACAGTGAGAGCATAGCTCCGCTGACCAGGGTGAGCGGCACTCCCACAACAGGCTGATCTCCACAGGCCACACCCCCTCCCAGTGCACCAGGCCTCTAATAATAATTATAATAATAAATACATAAATAAAAGTTTTTAATTGTTTCTTTTTAGTGAAGAAACTATGTATATATAGGAGAAAACATACATTATAGGGTTCAGTACTATCCGTGATTTCATGCATTCACTGGGGTCTTGGAACATAATACCCACAGATAAGGGTGGACTATAGTAGCCTCCTGTAAGTGGATAAACTTTTTAACTTACGGAGAGATCAGCAATCAGGAAAATAAGCCATATTATTACATATTAATTTTCTGAGAACCAAGTCTATGGAGTATGTCATGATACTGAGAGAAAATGGTTATCATTGTTATTTAAATAAAATAATGTTACCTAGACCAAGAGTAGAAAGAATGAAGCCACAAACCATGAGTTTCCAGTTTGAATATCATTTCTGTTAGTAAGAAGATCACTCCACTCCTCTGAATCTAACAGAGAGATACAGATGCAATTATTGTGTGTACTCCAGGAGAAAACAAGAAGTTTGAATTTATTCTGTAAATTCTTTCCAGCTATAAAATCCTGTGCCTGAGATTATAACATATGATTATAAAATATACATCTATTTGATATATGTATCGTACATATATACCATATATGTATGTGTACTTCAGTATACAGATATTGAAGATGAAGTGGAAAAAAATGGAGAAATGGAAATAGTTTAAAATTTTTTAAAAAAGAATTTGCTGAGCATTGACTATGGGTAGGTCCTGTGTTAAATGTGTTATTTCTGCCCATTCTGTGAGGCTATGACCCTTATGTGGAAACAGAGGCACTGAGAGATTCAGTGATTTGCCTAATTTAAGTGGTGGGAGCCAAGAATCTAGCTCAAAGAACCAAGCATGTAAGAATCACACTATCTCTCCCATTATTTAATATAGTTTATTTTTTATTTAATTTTTTTGTTGGGGGAGTGGAAAGAATAAGTTTAAATTTTGACTTTAAAGAGATACTTCTTACCCATTTAGTTAAAATTAAAATAAGATCATAAGAATGTTTTAAAAGCTCGGATACATGAGGAGTAGAGTGTCTGTGAAAGAAAACTCAAGCAAAACCTTGCCTTGGTAATGCTTTCTAGGCGAAGGGCATTTCTCACCATGCAGACGTGGCCTAAGGAGGCAAGGAGCTTTTCTTACCGTCAAACATTCAGTTGATGTCTCTATGCCACATGTGTCAAACACAAGGCCCGCAGGCCAAATCCGTCCCGCCAGGCCTTGCAATGTGGCCCGCACCGTGCTGTCATCACTGCACTCCGCTGCGTTTCCATCACAATGACAGTTTATGACTGTTCAGTAAACCATTTGGCCCGCGATTTAGGCTGGATTTTAGATTTTGGCCCCTTCTCTGATTGAGTTCAACACCCCTACAGTATGCTTTCATCAAAAGAGGTAACTGGATGTGCCCTAATCCTAGTCCTGTTCCAAACAGCATCTCCAGGATTTGGTCTTTTAAATTTCTCTTCTACAAAATTGTCTTGGAGCAAACCTGATTTTAAAGACATGAATTTATGGAAATCAAAGTATAGTCCTGATTTTATATATATATATATATATATATATATATATATATATATATATATATATATAATTCAGATACTATATTTATATATCTAGATCTGCCTCAGAACAAAGCTCTATTTAAATATTATTATATCCGCCAAAACCGGTTTGGCTCAATGGATAGAGCGTCGGCCTGCAGACTGAAGGGTCCCGGGTTTGGTTCCGGTCAAGGGCATGTACCTTGGTTGCGGGCACATCCCCAATGGGGGGTGTGCAAGAGGCAGCTGATCGATGATTCT